AGCTGCCTGGAAGAGTTGATATGAAGTTCAAATAGATTAATAAATGTAAACATGCTTTATAAACTGTTAAGAGGTACTTAGCTATGAGTGATTACCACTATCAACATGGAACCGAGATAAAACCCAAGTAGGCTCCTGACTGCCAGCTTTATTTCTTTAACTTTAAATTAATCTACTGCAAATTTTCTGTCTATGAGGCCTTGCATCTCCATAGATTATGGAACAGTGGTTTTAGCAGCCACAGAACTTTTTCTGATTCTTGTCATTCCAAAGAAATTGGTGAAATTCCACTGTGCACAGAAAGGAAAACACCAAAGTTTTTCTTAAATGTTGGAATAAGATATCTTTTGGAAAACTGGGTTGGAGCAGGGAGTGGGGCTGGGGAGAAGCAAAAATAAAATTTGTTGATGCTGTTTTTATAACGTCCTCTTATTTCACTTCTCTGCACTGTAGGCCACTGTTCTCTCTGTTTATTTTGCATATTTTGTATTGTATGTCTTTTCCACAAGTTTATGAGTATTGTTTTGTGTGCATTATTTTAATTTAATAGAATATAATTTTAATATAAATTATATTGTGTTAAATATATTACCTGTTTCTTATGTTTCTCATTAAATGCTATGCTTTTAAGATCAAAATAGCATCTATTTAACAAGATTGTCAATTCTTTAAACACAAAAGAGATACTATAATTGGGAAAACTTCAGACAATGTGCAAATAGTGGGAAAGTATTTGGGAACCAAGGCAGAGTGCCCCTTAGTATCCTTCCATTTCCTCTCTCTTCTGCCTCTAACCTGTAGCGTGTCCCACTGCCATTGCCTTGTTGAGGTCGTCAACATTGCGCATCTGGTTTTCTGCAATAAAATTGATCTTCCTGCCTACTCTGGCTTCCCATTCCCAACCTCTTCCTCAATCCATTCTTCTTCTGCAGCTAGAACTATACCAACAGGACCATACCACCTCCCTGTTGAAAACTCTCCTTTGATTCCCCATCACACTGAGAATGAAATCTGATAAGTCCCTCTGTCATCTTCCCCATCCACCTCTCAGATTTCATTTCCCACCACTCCAATCCTCTCTCCCCCTGCTTCAGCAACAATGTTATTCCTATAACATAATAAGCACATGGCTGTTCCAGCCCTTCACATGTGCGGCTCCCTCTGCCTGTAAAGATTTGCATGATTCCATCTTGCACTTTAGATCTCCTTGGAATAACACCATATCAAAGGGCCTCACAGGCTGCTGGTCCCTTCGCTAAAGAGGAATTTTGTTGAGGAAATATTCTTTGTTTTATGTGTTGCTTTATCCCTAGCACTCTTTCTTGGTACATGTAAATATTCAATAAAATGTGTTGAATGAATGAATGATTCATGGATAAAGTTTACTCATCTGAAAAGGACTAACAAGGCCATCACGGAATAATCTAGCTCCTATCTTTTCAGTAGCATCTTAGTCATCTTGCCCCTCTCTCTACACAGATATTCTCATGCCCTCACGTCATGCTCAAAAGATTGAGTGTTTTTCATTTTCTTCAATGTGCTTTGCTCCCTCTTGCCCTCAGTTATTCACACATGCTGTTCTCTCTTCATTGAATATTGTTCACCCACATCTGTGTCCAACTAGCTCTCCCAGGCCTTCCTTCCTCTAGGAAGCCATTCTGACTGTCCACGTCTGAGTTTTATACTCCTCCTAGCCCATAATGCATGAACTTCCAATATAATTACACTTACTGTAATTGCCTCTTTACTGATCAGTACCTACCACGCACTTTGAGCTTCTTGAAGACAGGGACAGATCTATCTTTTTATCATTATCTCTATAATTCCAGGTCAGTGCCTCAGTAAATAACTATGGAATGATTGGTCTCTCACCAGCACAGTTAGAGGCTCTAAGTTTTGGAGGGCATAGCCTATAGCTTAAATTGAATCCGAGTGTCTCTTAATAACAATAATGGGGATGTACCTGGCACTGAAGCCTACATATGGAGTCACAATGCACTCGCTAAAAAGAGCTACAGAATTTTGAGATATTATTTTACATTCAGAAAAAGCCATGTGGGGATGTGCCTAATCCAGTGTCCTATGGGAGTTGATTTGGGGGATTTCCACGTGACATCAGTCTCATCTGTGTGAAAGACTCTGGGGCTTGGAGAGAAGGAAATAGAAGAGGGTACTGAGCTCAGTGCCAGATTGTTAACTGGATTTTGTGGGTTATTTTAAGTATGTATTTCCAGGAAGAGAATGTCAAGCTCTGTCTGAACTTAGCTTTCTCACATGTCAACATGAGAACAGCAGTAAAGACAGTCTCCTTCCCAGCATTCCTTTGAAGAATAATAAATAAATGTGATAAGAAAATGCTTCACAAAATAAAACAAACTTTGAAGTAAAAAGCAGCCAGCCAGAATTGTTCATGTAGCTGAAAATTGTTGCACAATTTAACAATTCCTATCAGTATAATAGGTGGTAGTCAGTAACCTCTCTACCCTCACATTCTTATAATTACACACACACACACACACACACACTAGGTGCTATTGCTATGGAAATTTTACAGACAGGGGGACTTCATGTGTTTATAAATATATTTGGATTTTTATCTCAAATGGTCATTTAAAGTTTGCTTGTATATTAATATTCATTTATTCACTATCAATATAATTAATATGATTATACATATAACAAAGTCTAATCAACAAGGCAGTCATCCCAGTTCTAAAATGAAATGGTTAGACTAGAAGGTCTCTAATGAATTTTCAGTTCTAAGAATCAATGAGTGTTGACTTTGAGTTTGCCTTCTCTCACACATCCTTTGATAAAGAAGAACAGAGCTGCACATGACAATTTGAATAAGCCAGTATTACTCAAAAGTACTGGCATGTGGTATATACTCACTGAAAGTTTCTGGGTGGTAGATGTAGACTGTGCTTGCTACACTGAAGAGAATTCTTGCACCACAAGCTTGATTCCAGATGCAAACCTTCCATTGTTGTCAATAGATGCTCCTGCACTATCAGTAGTACTATGTCTTGTGTGAGTGAGCAAGCTGTCATCCTAAGTAGACATTCTAACACAGGTAGCTCTTTCTAGTTAAAAAAAATATATTGACAAAGAAAAGGTACTGGGGTGGAAGGAAAACAGTAGTGTGCACTGCACAAGTCCAGGGAGTCATTCACATTCTACTCTGTATAGACGGCGCTTCCTGGAGAGAAGGGAGAGCAACGCAAGCGTAGTTTTCATCTCATTGCTCCATATGGCAAGCAAATATGCACAATATTCAGCCAGTTGTGTTTTTATAACCAATAACCAAATAACTATGTCTTGAGTTTAAATGAGTCCCAAAGAAAGGCAATTAAATTGACTCAAGTCTTCTGGCTAAGAAAGTCAGATTCATGCCAAATTCTATTGTAATATCTTAAATCTTAAAGCAAATAGAGCAGAATAGCTGCTCTGGATGAAGTAAATTAGTAAAGTGAAAAGAAAAAAGCATAAATGATGCTTTTAATGTTTAGCTTAGTACTAGCTTTATTCATCGTTCAAATCTTTATTCAATGCCTTCTATTCATCAGGCTGTGATATTCAGATGCGTTCTATATTTTAGGTTCTTTCACCGCATGGAAAAACACATGATTACAATATCTTTGGACTCTTGTTGCAAGCAATCAATTCATTAAAAGTTAAAAGACAGCCGAAACCGGTTTGGCTCAAGAGCTTCGATCTGCAGACTGAAAGGTCCCTGGTTCGATTCCGGTCAAGGGCACATACATTGGTTGCAGGCACATCCCCTGTAGGGGGTGTGCAAGAGGCAGCTGGTCAATGTGTCTCTCTCATCGATGTTTCTAGCTCTATCTCTCTCCTTTCCTCTCTGTAAAAAATCAATAAAATATAAAAAAATAAATAAAAAAGTTAAAAGACATGTTCATTAATTTTTATTAATTTACTATGTATATAATTAAATCAGATTAAGAGCTTTCAAGTCAAGCATAATTTTCAGGAACAAATAAAACAAGTTGGCTATTTACCTGAGCACCAGGATCTTGTGTCTAAGATTATGTAAGATCTACCAGTTCTAACACCTGTGTTTATAACAGTATCTATGGAGGGGTCTTCAGTGTAGGGTCTTTATAAAGATGACAAATAGATTATTGAGAATGATGAAGCCTCCTTTTAGAAGTAAGAACTCTATATCATTTAGAATTCATAGTTTTTCTAACATCAAGTTGTATACTATGGATTAAAATCAATGTACACTGGATTTTTCTTTTAACACCAACCTCTCACTTATTAATAGATAGTGATAACACTTGAGTACAGTAGTTAAATGAATAATTTCTCCAAATATTATTTTTTAAAGATATATTTTATTGATTTTTTTACAGAGAGGAAGAGAGAGAGCTAGTTAGAAACATCGATGAGAGAGAGACATCAATCAGCTGCTTCTTGCACACCCCCTACTGGGGATGTGCCCGCAACCCAGGTACATGCCCTTGACCAGAACAGAACCCTGGACCTTTCTGTCCACAGGCCGACGCTCTATTCACTGAGCCAAACCAGTCTCGGCTCCAAATATTATTTTAATCAAAAGAATTGAATGCAGCCAAAACTGGTTTGACTCAGTGGATAGAGCGTGGAAAAGGAGGCAAAGGATGTGAAAAGTGAAATCATGGAAGAGGAAATCCAAGTAACAGTAAGCATATACAAGATGTTCAATCTTGTTTGTAATCAAATGAATGCAAATTGAATATATGTATTTCAACCGAATAATATGCACTTCCATTCTGTGCTTGAGACAGGGTGGTAATAAAAAGTCACAAAGAGGATATGTTGTAGAATTTAAAAAATGACAATGGCAGTTGAACAAACTACAGTAGCCAAGACTGACATTTTACTACTTACCTAAAGTTTACCTAAATAAGATTGCATTACTTGTCATCATTTCGCCCCAACACCCTCCACCCCCCTGCTCCCCTCCCACATACTACCTTCCCTTTATGATGTTCCTCTCTACCTTACCTCAGGCCCCTGCTTGGGAACCTAGCTTCTGCTCACCTTGGCTTCTTCTCTCTCCCTGTGTTATGATTTCCTTACTCAGGATTCAAACCCAGGCTGGTCTGATCCAGAATTGCTCTGCTGATGTTTCCTGCAGAGAAGAAGACTGCTATCTAGATGAACAGGCCTGGACCTCACCCCATCCTACAGAAGTCTCATGCTTAATAAATACATTCAGGGGCTATCTGTGAAGATCCCCAGGCTCTGCCCTGGCTGAGAAAGCTGAGTCAGATACCTGCCTCAAGTCAATGCAGCTGCAAGAGCTTGTAAAGGCTGTTGGGAAATCAGGAGGCCAGAGTTTGCAAGAGTGGACAAGCACCAAGCACTCAGAAGGAAAATACAAACTTTGAGAGTCAGAGCAGGCCGGAAAAGGACCAGCAGGTACCTGGGAATCAGAAGCATGAAACTGCAGGTAATAGATGGTAATTTATAATCCAGGATCAATGCTACAAGTTGGGAGCATAAAGAATGTGGAGGCACCGAAACCGGTTTTGCTCAGTGGATAGAGCGCTGGTCTGCGGACTGAAAGATCCCAGGTTCGATTCCTGTCAAGGGCATGTGCCTTGGTTACAGGCACAACCCGGTGGGGGGCGGGGGGGTGGCAGGAGGCAGCTGGTGGATGTTTCTCTCTCATCCATAAAATATTAGAAAAAAAAAAAAAGAATCATGGTGCTCTGTGATTGTTGTCATTATAAAAAAAAGAATGTGTAGGCAACAACAGGGGGGAAGAACCCACGTTGTGGCCTGGTCGCATCCCTGCCAACGGACTTTGCCACAGTCCTCCTTGAGCTAGGAGCCACACTCCCAAGGCAGTTAACCCTAGCCACTTCTTACCTGGTGCGCTTTTAAAAATCTAGCGATGTTCAGGCTGCACCATATTCCAATTAAACTAACATTTCTCAGGTAGAGACAGACATTAATCATGTTTTCTGGAAGAATTAAGATGCCTTCTCTCATTTTCTCACAGGAGAGCTCAGACTCCAGGTTCATAATGTCATCACTGCTTCTGGGTCTAGACTGAACATTCTCTTCAGAGCTAAGCCTTCTTCAGACAGACTCTCCATCTCATCCCAACCTCCAAAAGATTTTGCAATATAAACCCAATGTGACATGTTTATTTTCTCTCTGAAAATAATATATCAAGATTGCAGAGCACATTTTTGATAATTGGGGCAAAGACTGGATTTATAGTCCTACCTCGCATAAATTAGCCTCAAAATTTATTGGCAGAAATGTAAGTTGCATAATTACTTGGTGGTGGTTAGGCATTCTTGATATATTTATTGGCTAGAACCTGAACTCTGTACATGCATGGACACATATGAAATTCCCCACTCTGGATGCCTCTTCTCTGGCTCTTGGGAGTTGATTTATGAAGGTGTTATAATATAATATATAGTTTTACTTCTATAATTTGGGTAGTTTGGGGTAGCCAATAGAAGAAGCTAAACCTTTACATGCTGAAGTAATAATTTATTCCTTTGAAAGCATTGGGCTTTATGTGCAAATACAAACACAAAATAAAAAATAAATTAACTTGGAAATTATTTGATTGATTACTGTAGCTATATAACAATTCTTTGGCATCCTGCAGATGGTTCCATTTTCTGACAGTATCAAGATGCCCAACTTAATGTACATGAAATAAGCTTTCTGTCCATATCACATGCCCAAGATGGATCATGAAGCTCTTAAAAGTTATTCCTTTAAGTTCTCAGGTCTGCTCTCCTGATTCCTCTGCCACCTGAAGATCTCTATTAATTTGCTTCTGGAAATCTGAAGTCTAAAATGCTACATGAATGACATTACCCAGAAAGAAACTATGAGGCCATGGGCAAGGAATGGTACTCCATAGCTTAGATGATGGGCTTATAATTTGATCTACAAAAAAAAAAAAGACTTTTGAAGAGAAAGATCTGGAGTTGAATGTCCCAATAGAGATTTGAAAATCTCTCTAATGAGAAACAAGATTTAAAAGAAAAAACTATGGTTTTAGGTGTTAGAATGAATGATGGGTTCTTGGCTAGGGAAGGATATTTACCAGAAACTAGAAGAAATTATTGAAAAACTTTAAATTAAATAAAGAAGGAGAGGGAGACAATTGCCTTGATAAACCTATGAAAGTGGTTCCTGTAGAGGACAATAAGATGAGAAAATGAATAAGAGTATGAGAGGTGCCTAGTGTTTTGTACTCCAAAAATATTGGAGGGGAAATGGGAGATGGAAGTAATACAGCCTCAAAGTCTTTATACTAATAACTAGAGGCCTGGTGCACAAAATTTGTGCACTGGGGGAGGAGGGCGGTCCCTCAGCCCAGCCTGCACCCTCTCCAATCTGGGACCCCTTGAAGGATTTCTGATCACCCATTGAGATCGGGCCTAAACAGGCGGTTAGACATCCTCTCACAGTCCAGAACTGCTGGCTCCCAACTGCCCTACCCTGGTGGCCTGGTCTCCCCCAACTGCCCTCCCCTGCTAGCTGGGTCCCCCCCAATTGCCCTCCTCTGCTTCCTGGTCTCCCCCAACTGTCCTCCACAGATACAATTCTAGCTGTACTCAAAAAATACATGATTATAACGGAAAGAACCAAGAACTATAATATATCCCTAGAAACTTTAAGGAGGGTGTGCCAGTTATTAAGGTGTTACCTCTCAACTCCAGACTCACCCTTCTCAATTTGCTCTGCACAGCAAGCACATTTCTGCTTTGATCTCAGGGTCCCCTCTTTGATTAGCCAATAGGGGGCGCCAGAAGGAGGATGCTGGGCTGACTGGAGGAAGGGACAGGGGTTGTTCCTGTATGCTAGCAGGTCTTGAAGTCCTGGGAGCAATAACAGTTTCTTCTAGAAGCAGCAGCTGAATCTGGTTTGCAGTGTTTCCAACACTTGCCACATCAGCCCTCCACCCAATCCCCAAAGACAGCTGATCTGTGCTCCCTCCTTAGAAATCCAGGTCTCCCGAGGTCACTCTTCCAAGCTCAGAGACACCAACACCAGCCAAGCAGCCTCTTCTCAGAAATCTGAATTCCAGCTCTGTGGGAGCCCTCCTTTAAGTTCCTACATTTTAATAACCTCAGTTCTTCCTTTTGTTCTTCCAGTCCAAGGAGTGATAGCTGCTCCAGTTGTTACTTCTTCCATGATATCTTAGAGTTCTCTTGGTACCCTTTCACTGACCTTGTTAACAGTTTTATAATTTACTAACAGTTTTTATTCATAAAATTCTCTTTGTTCAAATAACTAGTAGAGATGTGCCTTGTTTGCTTTTTTTTTTTTTTTTTTTTTTCCTCCGGGAAGGACCATAATTGACAGAAAAAGCACAGGGAATGAATGCTAAAGCCCTGAATGAATAGGAAAAAAAGAGGGGGGAAAAAGTCCAAGGCAATCAGTGGGGTTTGTAAAAGGGATTTCCTGATTAAGAAGGGGACAGAGGAAAGGCTGAATGTTTGGAAAGGATGGTAAAGTGCTAAGTGTCCTTTCAGTGGAGGATTTTGAACCCAGGCTGGAATGCCAATGGGCAGAAATGTGGCAGAGGAAGTCATGGATTGGAGGAGTGTTGACTCAGATGCTTGTGAGGTTACAGATTCTGAGGGACAGCACCACCCCACAGCTCCCAGTGCTCTCGTGTTATCAGAACACTTGCCTTAGGATTTCTGAAGGGTTCTTCCTCAAGCTTCTGTCTCTTCTTCACACCTCTCTAGTTCCAGAGTTGTCTACCTACTAGTTTCCTCTGGAGTTTCACCATTACTTTCAGAGGCCAGAGAATCTGCTCCTTCTGTGAGATCAAGAACCTCTTGGTCTGACCCTGAGTTCTAGAAAGAAGCCTCTGTCTGTTCTTCAAATTAAATTACATTACAGAAATGTAGTCCACCCTGGCATGTCTGGTGCCTCCGAAATCCATGCATTTCCTCGGTACCACTGAACCCTCCTGCTGTCTGTGGAGCTTTGAAAAACCCCTTCTAGGATTGGCTAACAGAATCCCTTCACGATGTTAGAATAAGCAGCTGGGTCCTAGGCTGCAGTGCATCTTGATCTTCTGCATCCAGAAATTCTCCAAGGTTAGATTCATTCTAACATCTGCCCTTGATCTCAATCTTCTGGCTTTGTCCCTTACAAGTACCATTTCTTGCCCTACCTCATTGCCTCATCTCCATTGTTAGTTGCAGGCATGACGGGTATTTCTTTGTATTTGTGAAGAAAAATAAACTCACTTTTCTCTTTTTATTTCTCTAGCCTCACTAGAGTCTAGTGACTAGACAAATTGATTTTTTTTTTCTTTCAGCCAGCCATTGTTTCTCACCAGCTTCCTTCTTTCCCAAAAGTCCAAATAAGTGAATATCCAAATGACAGAATCCAAGCTCTGAGCCCTGAAGGTACCATTGCTGGAAATTCCAGCCCAATTAAGCTCTTCCCACTGCCTGCCCCATAGCTTTCCTCTAGCCGTCCTGAACTAATAGCAGTTGCTTCATCCCACCCGCACAATCATGACATAACACTGTCCACCACCAACTGAGAAATAAATTCAACCATCACCACAACAACAAAAAGCTTTCCAAAGTCTTCTGAAACTTTTGGACACTGAACAAAAGAGACAGGCATTGAATTCCTTCTTTTCCAACTTTCTTTTTTCTTCTTCTCATTTTCTATTTGCTCTTTATCTTTTCATTACTAAGAGTCAGACCACCACACACCACTACTATCTAGAACAGCCAGGAGATGAAAGGCATACTATCTTGGACACGAAAAGGAGACAATGTGTATTTTAAATCGCCATTCTAAGGAATGGGAAAAAAAGAATAAAAAATAAATAAATTTTAAAAATCCCCCCTTTTAAAAAATGTAGCCAAGTGAAATTTATCAGAGAAGATAGGTCCAAGGAGTGAGAGCTGAGTGGCAACTGCCCCTTGCATATGTTTTGATTTAAAATAGTTACCTTTTGTTCAGCTTAGCTCTTAGCTCCCACATCTTTCTGCTTTCAATTCTCTCAGAAAGGCACCCTGAGTGCAGTGTGAGGGAGGCACTTTAATTCGGAGTTCTTGAGAACAGCTTGCTATTTTCAAGGAAATCCAGTAGCTAGCGGAATGCAGGCTTCAGAGGCCCCACCCTGTTTCTCCCACCCAGATATTTTTCCTTTTTGTCCAGCAAAGTGTCATGTGTTCCTAAGAAAAAAGAAAAAGAAAAATGTTTACTTAAACTATGACGCTCTAAACTAGCTCAGTCCACTCTGGCCAAATGTAAGATGCTCGGGATTGCGTTGTGATGGAGAAAAGAAGGGATGGCTTTATCTGACAGTTAGAGGAGTTGAAACGTTCTTTTATGCCCTGGAGAACGTGTAGGCTGCAGGCCACTGCTGTGCAGGAGGTCTGGCTTTGGATGCATTCATTGAAATAATAAACCTACGTTTTTTTAAAATATATATTTTGTTGATTTTTTTTACAGAGAGGAAGGGAGAGGAACAGAGAGTTAGAAACATCAATGAGAGAGACACTGATTCAGCTGTCTCCTGCACACCTCCCACTGGGGATGTGCCTGCAACCAAAGTACATGCCCTTGACCGGAATCGAACCTGGGACCTTTCAGTCTGCAGGCCAACACTCTATCCCCTGAGCCAAACTGGTTAGGGCATAAACCTACGCTTTTGTGTGCCTTTGAGCACAGTGCCTACAAGGTGCTGTGCTCAATACCATGAAGGCACAGTCAGAGATCTTGCCTTTCTGGAGCTAACAAATCAGATGCGATAGGAAGACGGGGTAAGATGTGAACATAAATTGCTCTGATATGTGGCATAATGAAATCAGTGCCATAAAAAAGTGCAAGTTTTATGCGAGTCTAGAGAAAGTGTGTGTGTGTGTGGGGGGGGAGAGGTTGGCACAGGGAGGAGGATCATAATTTCTTTTCTCCAAGAAAGGCTTCCTGGAGGAATAGGCATTTCAACAGCCCTATAAAGAGCAAAAAGAGACGACCTTCGGAAACTTAGGTAGGACCGGGACAATGGGGTGGGTGAGTCAAGGGAAGGGAAAGGGTCCTTTGAGGAGGCTTGCAGATGGTTATAGTGACCAGGAAGACTCAGAGGTAATATTTACTGAAGAATCTTATTCTAGTGAGCTCACTTGGATTAGTGTTCTTCGATTTTGCCTACTTTCAGAGTAATTCAGGTAAAGTCTGCATAATAGGTGAAGATTCTGTGCTTTTAATATGCTCAATATTTCTTACATAAAATTCAGTAATCAACCTTGCTTGTTCTCTCTCATACTGCTTCTCTCTCTCTCTCCTCTTCCTCACCTACACAGGCACACACACACATATATTTTGTGATAGAAAAGAACAGAATAAATATTTAAAGCTAACTCTAAAAAGGCAGGGTCTCTACTTTTCTGCATTAAACTCTGAGCTGCACACTCACTCCATCAGAAACATACGGATTTGGTCCCTGGTCTTGCTTCCTGGGAATGAGGTCAGAGACTTCAGGCCTGAGAGCAGGCTTGAGAAATACTTCCTCAGCCACTTTCCTTTGCCTAAAAAGTGACAGCTTTGCATAACACCACCCACTGTAAGTTTTAATAAGCTACTTCTCATTACTGTGAAGTATGCTGAACTGCTACTAGAGAAAAAGTTTCCTAATGGCCAAGAGCTTAACCATGGAGCTTTGTTCCTTCATCTTTCCTCCTTGACCTCCCACTTGTTAAAAGGTAAACTGAGCCGAAACCGGTTTGGCTCAATGGATAGAGCGTCGGCTTGGGAACTGAAAGGTCCCAGGTTCGATTCGGTCAAGGGCATGTACCTTGGTTGAGAGCATATCCCCAGTGGGGGGTGTGCAAGAGGCAGCTGATCGATGACTCTCTCTCATCGATGTTTCTAACTCTCTATCTCTCTCCCTTCCTCTCTGTACAAAATCAATTTATATATATATATATATATATATATATATATATATATATATATATACTAAAGCTTATTAAATTGTTAGATTTTTGAGCAAAAAATGAAAATCAGGCTGCAACATAAAAACTAGAGTAGCTAAGAATGTTCCACCAGCAGGAACTGGGGGAAGACTTTATAGATAAGATGTGGACACAAAGCAAGGAAATTATCTGATTGGCTGTAGCATAAGAGGTTGCCTGAATTGGGAAAGCCCAGTTGACTGTGATTGGTTGTGCTTAGGTTTTGATTTCTTTTTTTTTCTTTTTTTTAAAAAAATATATTTTATTGATTTTATACAGAGAGGAAGGGAGAGAGATAGAGAGTTAGAAACATCGATGAGAGAGTGTCATCGATCAGCTGCCTCTTGCACACCCCTTACCGGGGATATGCCTGCAACCAAGGTACATGCCCTTGACTGGAATTGAACCCGGAATCCTTCAGTCCCCAAGCCGACGCTCTATCCATTGAGCCAAACCGGTCCCGGCAGGTTTTGATTTCTTAACCTTGAGGCATTGCAGGCTTAAGATTTGGGTAGCTAATGTAGGCTACCAAGGCTTTAAAGCCACCTTAGTCTAATGGGCTCAATGTTTAATTAATTTAATTCCTTCAAATATGCGTGCTGCAGGAAAAGAGAGGTCTGGTGTTTGATAGACCTTAGCACATTTGGCTTATTTTATTATTTTATTATTTATTTATTTAAATATATTTTATTGATTTTTCACAGAGAGGAAGGGAGAGGGATAGATAGTTAGAAGCATCAATGAGAGAGAATCATTGACCAGCTGCCTCCTGCACACCCCCTACTGGGGATGTGCCTGCAACCAATGTACATGCCCCTGACCGGAATCGAACCTGGGACCTTTCAGTCCGCAGACCGACGCTCTATCCACTGAGCCAAACCAGTTTCAGCCATCTGGCTTATTTTAAAAATGATAGTAAACAACTGATCTGATTGCCATTTTTTTGTTTAATTTATTAGATGACTGGGTTGAGGAAACTAATCAACTGCATGAAAATGATGCAAAATATTAAATTTTATGGATGTTAATCCTTCTGCCCAAGGGAACAAGTGATTTCTACCATGCTATGGCACAAATATATTTGTGAGAAACTCTATGAATAAAGTTATGCAAATCTCAGAAGGTATTTCAACACTAGGTGAACATAAATTAGTCTACAGCACTGTCACAGATTATATATTAGGATGCAGATATTTTCAAAACCATTGGAGTTATTTTTTTGTTGTTGTTAATCCTCACCAGAGGATATTTTTTCCATTGCTTTTAAGAGATAGTGGAAGGGAGGATGGGAGGAAGGGGGAAAGAGATAGTGATATGAGAGAGACACATCAACCGGTTACCTCCCCTACATACTCTGAAAGGGGGCAGGGAGTGAACTCTCCAACTCAAGTGTGTACCCTTGACTGGGAATCGAACCAGTGACCCTTCCATTTTCGGGCTGATGCTCTAACCACTGAACACGCTGACCAGAGCCCATTAGGGGTTTTTAGATCAGTTCCAAGGTAATGTTTTCCAGTACATACCCCTTGTGTTCATTAATAAAATGCTACCTGAGTGATTGTACAGAGAAGGCCAGCAAAAGAGCAAAACCATTTTACCATGCATCAGGGAGAAGAAGCTAAGTATTTTCTGGGATTTCAGGGAGAGAAATGAACTCAAACCCCCACTCCCTTAGATTTGCACAGGATTGTCAAGAGCTGAAAAACTTCAAAGTATAATAAAAGTACGACTCAATTTGGGAAATATGAAGCATTTGGAGTCACTAATTTAGCCAAATATTTATGTTTTGGTGCATAGTTGGACTGCTTATCAGACCTTCAGGAATTCTTTGTTTCTCATTTTTTGTGCTTTTATTTTCTTTCTGATCTCTCCTCTCACTAGAAGCAAAACACCCTCTGGCAATGAAAGTTAAGATGCTTCTCCACAGAGGCACCAAGCTGGGCCGAAGGGGCTGATCCCCAGGTAGTAATTTTCCTTCCCCTGCTCTCTCTTCTGGGAAGTGCTGGGAATTGTACGGGTCTTGAAGGCCTCCCCCAAAGAGAAACAGAAATCTTTCTCCCGATAAGCATACCAAACCTCCCTGAAGGATCTTTTATGGACGTGACTTTAAAGGCTGCTGCACAGGGCGGAGAGGCAAGCAGGCGGGTTTCCAAGAATGTCCCGGACCTGAGACCAAACACTCTGCCTCCCCTTCCACTACCAGCACTCCTTACCCTTCACTGCCCGGGTGGGTGCTGACATGGTGGATACTGGTAAGGACGGACAGATGGTCCCCTGTGTTCTTCCTGCTCCAGGCTGACCTCTGCTCACAGGGAGCCCTGCAGGGATGAGTTCTGCATTTCCTATTCATTTCTGCACCTCCCGGCTCTAGCTCTGGGCTCTGGGCGCTGCTGAACCACACACAGCAGAGATCTCAGGTGGGTCTAGACCAGCCCCTGCTAGCCAAGCCTCATTGCACCCAGGCCCCACATCCCACACGGATTCAAGCACATTCCAGGACATTCCACAGCTGGGAGGCCAGGAGCCTGGAATGTCTGGAACCCACAGAAGGAAGGTGTCCCAGCACGCTCCACCCACCCTCAGTCACATTTTCCCAAAGATCTCAAAGCATTCTCCAAGGGTGATCTCACTTTTTAAGAGGTGTTTATTTCTATTCTCACCCCTACTGCTAGTAATGACTCTCTTTTGCACAAATGTCACTTTGATTTTTTTCCCCACATGTCTCATAGTAAGAACACCATATTGGGTACCAAGAGCCCAACTACTAGTTACTCAACTACTAATTAGATATCATGGAAACTCCTTTCTAGCACACGGGACTGAGATTGGACAACGAGGCAGCGAGGAAATGACTGTTCCAATCCCATCCTTTGAAAGATACATAATGGGGGCCCAGACGTATCTTATACATACAGTATGGTGTGTGTGTGTGTGTGTGTGTGTGTGTGTGTGTCTCCCAGTGCTAGTGCTAATGCAGTCTTCAGGACTTCCATCTCCTTATCTGTGGAATGGAGATAACACCTACTTTACAAGGTTCTTGTGAGCTGCCTTAGTGCCTGGAACATAATAGGCACTTAGTGAATGTTTGTTGAATAAATACATAGATGGGAGAACAAATGTAACCTTTCTGGGCTTGCTTGCTCATTCTAAGTTTGCCATGTTTAATTCACAAGATGACTCAGAGGACTAAAGGACATTAAGGTTGTTTAAAAGTGTAATACTATCAACAATAAAAAGCATATTAAAAATCATAATAAATAAAAGGCTTTAGACATCTGAAACTAACATCATGCGACATGTCAATGGTGCCTGAATAAGAAATAAAATGTTTTTGAGAGCCAAAAACTAACTGTAAAACAGAACATTATTATTCATGTGACTTAGTACAGGCACCCAAACCTCCTAAGTATATTTCTCTCCTTATATGTAATGAACTATAGACAAGTCCCCAGCTCTAATCAGGGAGGAGTGCTACCTACCCCTCCACAGCTCTTTCCATAACTTGGTTTCTATGTGCTGTTCTCTGGTCCCCTGTTAAAATGAGCATTAACTGAGGGCTTGAGGTAGGGGAGGTTCACTGCTGGATCAGGCAGATAGTGCGTGAGTTAAGAGCACCAGACCTAGAGTCCAATTGCCTGCCTTTGTTCCTGTGAAATTCTCCCTTCCCCTGACTGGTGAGCAGAGTCATGACATTACTGGCATCTGCTATAGAGACCACCAATCAGCGAGTGTCAAAGTGCCCTGGAGTCCACCCCTTCCTGTTCCGCCCTGGGTCCAACCCGTTCCTGTTCCTCCCCTTAAAAGACCTCTCAGACCAGCCACATGTTGCTTCCCTCCATGTCCATCTGGAGGCAGCCCAGCTGGGTCCTTTCTCCCCTCCGCACTCCTTCAATTCTGATTTCTCTACCTCCATAATGAGTCCTGCTCATTACTGGGGAATAAACTTTACTTTAACATGTCTTGGTGATCTCTGACTTCAGTTTCCTGAGTTTCAAACCTTACAGTTCCATGATTGCACCAATTACTTAGGGAGTTAACCCCACCATGCCTTAGTTCATCTGTAAAATGGGGACATTGGTATAATCCATTTCTCAGGGCTACCAGGAAGGTGGAATAGACAACACATGTATTTAGAGAAGTGCCTGGCACAAGGGAAGAACTCAATCAGTGTTGCCTCTAACCATTATTGATGTTGTTGTTGTTGTTGTTATTATTATTATTATTATTATTATTATTCCTTTGTTACTTGAGCTTGTAATCCAGTGGAGAAGACAGACTATAGTGCAAAGCTGGAAGAATGAGGCAACATCCCAAAGGTCATGAACAGTGTGCTATGGGTGCAGAGACAGGGACATCTTGATTCACCATCCTCATCACCTTTTCTGTGTAGCCTCTAGTTTGTCACTCTTCCAACATACACAGAACTTTAAAATAAAGAACCCAGATTTCACCGAGGAGTGCAAGCGCAGCTCAGGTTGTGCAGCCACATCACACTGCTGGCGCAAAGTGAGCCTCTGCTCAAATAAGACCCCCAGGGCCTTTTTACATCAATGGCTGCCAAGTTACATGTTCTCCATCCTCTGTTTCTATAATTCACTTTTGAACCTAAAAACAAGACCCTGCATTTATCCTTATTACATTTCATGTTGTTAGTTTTGGCCCAGCATTGCGGCATGTCAAGATAATTTTGGATCTTGATTCTGTCAGCTCTCTTATTTCTTATTTCTATCCTCTCCAGATTTGTGTCACTAGCACACTTGATCAGCATACCTACTCTACCCTCAAGCAAGACATTGGTAAAAATGTTGACTAAAACAAGACTAAGAGACCAGCCCACTATTTCAATTGCAGAACCCTCTGCAGACATAAATGTGTCCATTAATCATTTGGGGTATGATTGTTGAAGCAGCTTTGAATTCATTGAGGGGTGTCCCTAATTCACTATTTTATTGTAGATGCCTTGTCAAATGCCTTGCTAATATTAAGACACCTTGGGTCTATGGCATTGTTGAATATCATTTACTATTTTAACTTTTCCTGGAGTGCTAGTATTTCCTTTAAATTTGATGAAAACATTGATGTCTACATCCAGGTTATCAATAAAGAACATAGGGGATATCATTTAATAGATTCCTTAAGAATAAAGCTATGCTATTTGATTACCACTCTTGGAGGTCTATTTTAGGCTTTAATATGAAAAGTGAATTTGTTAGGGTATGCTATGTACGGTAAGACAAAGACAATAGAAATGTATTTCTTACTCACAGGAAATATCCCTGTTTGACAGGCTGTCTTCCATGTGTCATTCAGGAAATCTAGTTTCTTCCACCTGGTGGTTTCACTCTTGTGGCTTGGTCCTTAGATTTCTCTGCAAAAGATCAGCAACAAAAGAAGGAAAAGTAGAGACTATTACACATGGAGTGTTTCTGTGGTCCAGCCTGGAAATAGCCCATATCACCGTTGAATATTTCACTGGCTGGAATTCAGTCACATGACTACCCCTACCTGCACAGGAGGCTGGGAAATACAGTCTACTTCTGAGCTCGGCAGAAAGAGGAAGTGAGTGTAATGAGCAGCAAGCCTGGCTCTAAAACAGACAGCAAGCATAATTTAGATAGGACCTACATGTTATTTCAGGTCAAGTATGAAGCTAACCCTGCCAGTAGGGTATTTGATGTAGCAGGAATTATAAGAGCTGGGTTCTAATTCCAAGTCCACCATTACTTGGAACTGTAAGATTGCGAAGTCCATTAGCCAACTGCCTTGGCCCATTTCATTCATTGCTAAATCCCCAGCCATAGTCTAGTGCCTGGGACAGAGTTGATGTGATAAATATTTGTTTAATTGTTGAGTGAATAAATGAATAACCTTTCTGGACTTATTTCTTTATTTCTAAACTTGCTCGACCTCTACCGACTTTAAAGGTTTCTATAAAATCAAATGAACTATGATTATAAATGCTTTGAAAACTAAAAGTCATTGTAAAATGCATAGAGTATTAAGACTGGATTTGTGCCATTTGTCTCACATTTTATGGACTGACCTCCTCTGCATAGTTTTCTCTTATTGAACATAGGAGAAAACAGACTAGCCTCTCAAACCATTAATGGTAAAACTCTGCCCAACTTACATTTCTTTTTGACTTGAAGTCTAATCATCAATGTCCTCTCCGTAGGTGAATTTAAGAAAGAGGCTTTGAAGGCCTGTCAAGGTTAGGATATGTGCTAAGATTTGGGGTAACACAAGGACTGATATAACCCATATTAGAAGAAGTTTAAAAAACAACCACCACTGGTCCTATAGATGGGAATCCGTTTGACAATTTTATATGACAGATAGTAGTTTCTTAATTTGTTAATGGAAATATTCAACAGAAAAAAATCAAAATCTTCACTCAATATATTTAATTAGATGCCAGATTATAGATGACCTTAACTATTGTTAAGCTAGAAAATCAAAAGAACAAAGTTGTATTGTAGAAAGAAGCATCTGAGAGATGTCATCTTAGACAACTTGGAGGAAAATATACTAGACGGCTATTGCATTAGTCTTAGCAGAAAGTGGTGAGGACTTGATTTAAGAATATGGAAAGAAAGCCCTAGCTCGTTTGTCATAGTCCAGCATCGTTCTGTGGACTGAAGGGTCCTGAGTTTTGATTCCAACCAAGGGCACATGCCTGGGTTTTGGACTCCATCCCAGGAGGGATCCAATCAATGATTCTCTTTCATCATTGATGCTTCTATCTTTCTCTCCTTCTCCCTTCCTCTCTGAAATTAATAAGATACATTTATAAATATAAATATATATATATATATATATATATATATATATGAAGAAAATATAAAGCATAAATAAAAGGACTTCTAATCCTGAGAATATGCAGGCTAATATGACCTGAACACTGTTCCTTCAAGTATGTCTAGGATTGCGGAATAAAATATAACAGAAATATATATTTTTTAATATATTTTTTATTGATTTTTTACAGAGAGGAAGGGAGAGAGATAGAGAGCTATTGTAGAAACGTCGATGAGAGAGAAACATCGACCAGCTGCCTCTTGCACACCCCCTACCGGTGATGTGCCCACAACCAATGTACAATACATGCCCTCGACCAGAATCGAACCTGGGACCTTTCAGTCCGCAGACTGATGCTCTACCACTGAGCCAAACCGGTTTCGGCAACAAAAATATTTTTAAATCAAACTTAAGATCACAGGAAACAAGAAAAATAGAAGGAGAAAGAATAAAACAAGAATAAGTTAGCATGTGAACTGATGCTCTATATGCCCTCAGAATTGGATCTTCATAACCCTTGGAACTTGGGTTTTAATGACTACAGTAGATAAGGCCTTGAGCCTGAACAAAATGGGAGGGGGGAAATGAGACTCACACGCAAAGCTAAGGCCTGGATCATCAAGGAGAATATTGACCAAAAAATAAAAATGAAAAAGCTAAAATTCCCCAACCACCTCAGCAAAATGACACAGAAACTCATTTGTCTCTCTTTGTGGTAAAAGTCTGTCCTGAGAATTTGAAACCCTGCACCTGTTGTACACATGAATTCAGTTTTAAAAATTGCCCTATTGGAATGGGCCAGCCACTTCCAAGCCAAGAAATTAATGTAAAAATGGGTCCCTGGCGAGTCATATTGTGGGAGTGCCTGGAAGAAGCAATTAGAAAAACACGCTGGAGAGACATTTTACAATCCAGAATACAGGTAGTTTCACAAAAATCGGCAAACCCCACCCAAAATAAACTCACAATAAAAGAAATTACAAAGCACTGGAGGGACAAATCCATCATGAGTAAGAGTCAAGAGAGATTACTGTTAATGGAATGCACCACCATCACCTCTCACCCACCAAGGATGGAGCTATTAGAACAATCTGAAAGAGCATACAAAATAAACATGTTTAGAATGATTAAAGACATTACAGAAGAAAAGAAATCCACAAGAAAAACACAGAATGCCATAGGAAGGAAGGAAGGAAAGAAGGAAGGAAGGAAGGAAGGGAGGAAGGAAGGAAGGAAGGAAGGAAGGAAGGAAGGAAGGAAGGAAAGAAGGAAGGAAGGAAGGAAGGAAGAAAGGAAGGAAGGAATAAAGGAAAAGAAAGGCAGATTTTTTTTTAAAAAAAGGGAAGTCTAGAAATAAAATACATAATTATTGAAATTAAAATCTCAATGGATGGATGAAGCAGTAGGTTAGACATATATAAAGAGGAATTTGTGAACAAGAAAATGAAGCTAAAGCATCATACCTGAATGCGCCTCAGAGAAATAATGAGATGGAAAATTTAGAAGGGGAGTTAAGATTTTAAAAAGGAGCATGGGAAGGTTTAATTATGTCAAAGGATTCCTAGAAATGAAGGAAAGAGAATGGAGCTGAGGCAACTTGGGAAAAGGAATGGTAAGAATCTTCTGATTTAAAAAACACGAATCTTCACGATGGAGCAGCACAATGAGTCCAGAGCAGCATATGTAGCAATCTTCTTTGTGATGTGCTCGATCATCAAGCACCATCAGGCTAGTCCTCTGGGGATTTAAGGTCATCTTGACACGGTAGTGTGCATTAGCTGAATCGAATGTCGTTGGGCAGATGGCATATGGTTTAGCTTTGTTCTTTAAAGGACGGAGAGGACCACTTCTCTTGTGTTTCTGTAGGCATACATGTGACTTCTGTTTGAAGTAACTGATCAGGAAGGGCAAGGGAGGGGTCCTTTTGCTCAGAACAGCCATTTTGCAAGGATTGGTGTGGGAGTATGTAGAATGTGGATTAGCATGAGGGGAGGGGAACGAGCTGGGGGTGTGCACCAATGAGTGTGCGTTTTTCTGTAGCTCTACATACTCACATACACGTGTAAGTGTACTGAGTTTTAAATACATACATGTGCTATCCTCTTTGCTGGGTTGCATCCTGAAATGGAATTTGAGACCCTTTTTATAGGCTTTCGCTGCTCTTACACCTCCATTAAGAGATTTCTGGACTTCATGCTGTCTGTTTAGATATAATACATTTATTCTCTCCATTTAAAGGAGATGTTTAGTTTGGGTTTTTATGTTGGTGGTGATGGTTTTTAAAGCAGAAAGTGACCTTTGCCTTCCCTCTTTTTATTCCAGTAGGCACATAAAAGAGAGGGACTTACATTCCCACTTCCCATGGGCGATACCACATGCAGGAAGACTTAAGGGCTAAAACCCTGAAAAAGATGTACTCTACCATATCTGGTCACACCTCTCCACTCTGAGGTTTTGGTAAGAGTAGTTCTTGAAAGATGTCTGTTCAGTGTCTTGGTGAGTTTTTTCCTTTCAGTAATAATGTCACCAGTTTCCCAGTGGGTGCTCAGCAGTGCCCTCAAGATATTTCTCCATGGATATCATCAAGCCCCCCATAACGGAACCCCAGGGGTCTTCTCAGGAGCCACAGGTGTCAATAGCTCTTACAGGGTCGGAACAATGCTTCTGGGCTTGCAGGCAGCACTCCCCTTGCCTAGAAGCTTACCCTCCCCTAAATGCCATACTGTCTGACAAGGGAAACAGCAACAAGCCCAGGAAGACTGCCTTGTCTCAGAGGGTATTCCCTTATTAGTCAATGGTTTCCTCTGAGGGGCTTATTATATAGCTCTACCTCCCTGCAGTGTTTAACCTTGGGTAGCCATGAAATTTTACAAGAAGTTCCAAAATCACTTTAAAGTCCCTTATGGTCATAAAATGAAGTTTACTCAAGCCCCAGGAGCAATTGTAGGGAACTAATAGACCTTGAAATAAGTATATAAATTCATTTCTGTTAAGAGCATCAAGTTCCATCTAGAGCTAGGTGCCCGTGTGTGTAAACACACACACAAGAGAGAGAGAGAGAGAGAGAGAGAGAGAGAGAGAGAGAGAGAGAGAGAAAGAGAGAGAGAGAAGAGGAAGAGGAGGAGGTGAAGGAGAAGAGAAATACCATTCCTTTAGAGGTGTTTGACTGCTATCCAAATAAGTGTGCTGCACGATACACACACACTCACCAGATTACGTGCATATATGGTATTACCACCCAAGTGTAAGTTCCAAGGTTTACTTCAATTCTTCACCCATCTGAATGTAGTTATTAAAATATACTGAATGGTGTTTGTTAAAGTGCAGTGAGTTTTTCCATTAAGACCCCTCCAAATAGAGTAGTGTGTCTAAATTTTGAATCATGTGCTATGATGAGGTGACATGTCAATATTCAGGCACTTCAAAGAGAGAGACACTTGTGTTGCATCTACTTGACACCAAATATCTTAATAAAAATTGAAGGCAGTGAAGCTCAAACACTAATTTTCTGCATATCCAGATGGTTGGCATTAAATAAAATGTCTGGGTGGTACACCATAATTCACTCTTGAAAAAGAAAAT